CAGCCTCACTCTAACTCGGGAAGTATTGGACCAAGTGGAAAAGTTTCGTTATTTAGGTAGGTCGCTGCAATATACTCATCTTAGTCCGGATAACCATAAGTATTTGGTCGGTCATACTCACTAATTTTTGCAAGACGAAGAAAAAAAATACAAAAGTACAAATGACTGGAGGTTAGGGACCAACATACGTGAAGTCGAAGTAGTTATAATGAGTGCTTTCCCCATCAACATAGTCCCGACTGAGTTCCAGCAACATTAGCGGATACATGGCCCCGCGAACCAACTGTCTCTTGTCACCCAATTCCAACTGATTGAACCCTGGAAAACAAGAGACCAAAATTGAAAAAGAATGACGTGGAAGACAAGTATACAATTATTATAAACCAGACTGATCTAACTGTCGATTATGACAAGGGAATGAGTGTAGTCATTGTGCAAACCGAAGAGTAAAATCGAAGTTTGATCCCGAGTAAGATGAAAGCAGAACGCAAAACCGGGCCGACGACGTTGGACCTGGAGATAAGCCCCATGTATCATGTACTGCGTAAGCACAGGAATTCCATATCACCACATGACAGGTGTTGTACGAAAGCTTAGGACAAGAAACCATCAGCGGATAAGCAAATCAGTTCCCTAAGTTACTGATATATTACAAAACGAATAGTGGTAAGCACATACGCGACAAAGCCATCAGCAACAAGGTGGTTAAAGTGCGCAACGTGGATCAGAGTCATTTGTTCGTTTTGTGTGCGTAGTGTCTATGGTAAGGCACTGCATTATTCCTCAACCTCGATGAAAGATAAGGCCTCCCCAAGGCTCCTCTAACTTCATGGGTTTGAATATCCATTTTGTTACGGATGGCGTCTTTAAAGGTGGACAATTATCTGAATGGGTTATTGAGCATTATCATCATTGTTACATCAGCTTCCATTATAGCCTTTATTGTAGGAAACTGAGCATTTCCGTCTTCGAAAAGATGGGAAAATAAATGGTTGAACGCACAAGGAAATGCGTATCAGTAAGCGTTTTGCTGTTGGAACGAGCAAAAGCAATAGTACATGTCACTCGAAATTAAATCAACATCCACATGCGACAAGCAAGTGGAAGCAGCTGGACTTGACATCGAATCAGGGTCTACAAGGTACAAAAATGACGGTGCAGGGACACAGGTGATGAGAAGTTGGAGCAAGCGCCGTGCAGGATATGCATGATCGGCACTCGGGTGATATGGTATTGAGGAATACGTTTGTTTCCGTCCTCTCGAACGAACGCGTGTTTTCACTCTTGAAATGCGAGCTACATATCAGATTCATCCACATATGGCGAAAAATAAACACAGGCATGGGGCACGGCCGAATTGTTCTTTAGATAATCACCAACTTGAGACGGAGAACCACGCCCAGCGGGGCAAATGGTTTTGATTGTATTTTAAGCATACATAGGTGAAACCCCTGCACACCATCCCCGTTCTATATTCTGAAGGTGATGGAACGAATGCAATGAAATACTCATAGCTGAACCCCCACGAAAATGCGATCGAATGACTGTTCTTGTTTGTCCACAATAAAATAATCCCTAAAGAAAAGCATTCCGCTGACCAACAGGTTATGAGTTGTTGTCCAAGAGTTGGAGAAATATCACCAAACGAAATACGAGCGGCTATGAGCAAATAGGATAATAAATGCCAACTCCTGATCTCTCAAATCCGTCTCACGTTTCATCATAAGTCTGAAAGTGAATTATAAATGACGCCAGAGAACAATTGCCTGTACACTGGAAGAGTTTTCTTCCATTCAAATCGTGCTCTTAATTAATGATTGTTGAACAGATGTTTCAAAAATGTAGTTATATTAGAATAAGGCTGCATCATCTTATTCGCAGCATAATGGTGCAAACGACTTTGGCCAGTTGATGGAATGCGTGAAAAGGAACTCAAAACTATAACGATAACATAGTAGTGTTATTAGTGGTAACAAAAACAGTAATCACACAAAATCATATACTGCCAAGCGAAAGTTAGGAACTTAACACTAAGACATGTGAAACTTCATGAACTAGACGTTTATCGTTCATCACTGGTTATTCAAAATGTGTGGGCAACCGAGAAGATATGAAAACATGTGAAACCACGCAACCGAAATACGACCGTCTTTTGTGCATCTTGAGTAGAGTTGCCTCCTATTTCAGTTCTCCGATGCACTTCGTAAACAGCACAAACAGAGCAGAGGATCACAGCGGCTAAAATAATCTTGCCGAGTCACGAGTTGGAACGTATCCAGAAACGCTTTTGGTATCAAAACATGAGCAGATTGCAGCTCAGGTATACGGCATTGGGGAACTATCACTTGGGGAGATAGGAAATNCTTTCCATTGGTGACGCGTAGCATAACAGTTGGCTAGATTGCGCATCTAACCTGCCAATGTGGATGACCGTTGTTACTGCTTTTAAAGCACAGTAACATTTTACGACTATCGGTGGTGGGTGGGTGTGGTGGTTCTTTTTAAGATACTGCTTCAATATTCTGATGTTTAGTCCAACGGTTGTATTGTACTGCACATGACGGCAAGAGCTTCCACGAAATCGCGTAAAATATGAAGGTCATGGGATTTCGGTTACAGGACCGTATCTTCGCTAAAGACCACATGTAACAGTTCATTGAAGTAAGCTTTGTGGATAAACCTCGTACACATGTTTCCGTTCCCATTCGGTTTCCAGTGAGTCTTTATTGCATCATTCAACTGATCTATTAAATGCTCTGTGGATTGTCTTTGTGATATGAATAGAGATGGCAAGACGAATGATCTTCACATAAATATGCATGAAAATTAGCTCATCCCGCAGATAGAAAAACGAAAAACCAACAACATAGAAGCACCGCCTGAGTAATACTAGTGCTAGTGTTATAATTCTAGAAGGCGGTGCCTGGTCGAGGAAAGTTGCTTATTGCTGACATCAATAATATCAATAATTTGATATCTGATTTGATATTTGACATCTCATTTGAAACGGCAACACACAGGGTAATGAATGGAGCACTCGTTAGTTATTCCTGAGGGAACAGCAATTCGCCTTCAGTGGTCTTGATAACTTTTGATAGTCTAAAGAAAGCGCCAACCGCATTGTTTTGCATACTACTCACAAACGTGAGTACTAACTCACAACATTATTAGTAATCTCAGAACACAAGTGTTTTTTTTGGTGCAGACTTCGTTCTCTAGCTTATTCAGATTGCTTCCATTTTGAACAGAGATCAACTTGCACTTCACGGTTTTCATCACTTGGTAATCGTGATCGGAACTTCAAATGACCCCTGTTGAAATAAACATGCGTTCCAAAGATCCTTGGTGAATAAGTATAGTTGAGTTTAGGTTGTTGCAGTTACTAACGGAAGTTCCGACTTTAAAAGTTAAACGCAGATTTGCCACAACTTAACGGTGGCTTGTAGCGGAAACTTGCTTGAGGGCATATTACTTTGATATCAATATGATCAAACGATCGAAAGAAATCCGGTACAGCAAATACAGATAAATGCATACGATAGGATAATGCAAATCAAGTTTCACTTAGTTTTCAGATACTGATATTTGTGATTGATAAAGCCAACTGACTAGTTGAAAATTAAAACAGGTACATCGCCCGTTCCTCATCCACAGAACACCGCAATCAGACGTACTTCAGGGTCACGAGAAAGAGCTAAATTGTGCAACAGCATGAATAGTGACCGCATGGACATGTGCACCAATGCACTAGATAGAATGGAAGCATAATGATGACTGATTTTTTATTACACACTTTCTTGTGATGAACAGCAGGTGGAGATAACCCGATAGTCACAAGGACCTGCTGCTTAGTGATAGAAACCAGTAACCCAAAGCCCGGGACTTCGAGTGCAGAACGACATGGGACCTCGCCAAGTTGGGCGTAGTACTGAACGAGACGATATCCTACTGAATATTGTTGGCTGCATTCCATTTCGCCTGTTCGCCGAGCTTGGCAATTTGTTTGCAAACGTTTCATCACCAGCCGAGGTGACATCATCACCACTTCACAAGCACTGATGATGTCACCTCGGCTGATGATGAAACGTTTGCAAACAAATTGCCAAGCTCGGCGAACAGGCGAAATGGAATTCAGTTCACCCGAGCCACGAGAACTGATTTTCAATATTTTGTCATTTGTTTGCTGTTGTCAGGATATGCTCACATTTCAGCGAGAAAAAAAATGCAAACGCATAATTTCGTAGAATGATGCCGAAAGGAATAACAATGAGCTATGAAATTCGAATATACTTTCGAAACACCTAGTTCGCTTCAGATATGACTGTCTGAAGGTGATCAGTCATCTTTCCCGTGCATCTCGCGAGATGTTTCCATTAAACTACCTGTCTCAAGTAGACTCACTAAATTCACCTGATGGAGGTGGAAGAAACAGCATTCGGATTTATAGCCACATCGGAGGTTCACCTGCAGTTCATCAAGTGGGTTTGAACAAACCCAAATTCTGTACTAACCAAGAATCAAATCACATCATCGTGACTGTGGCTATAATCACTGGCATGATGGGTTTACTTGAACGTCTGACCCCGTCCAAAGAGTGTATATATATATATATATATATATCACTATTGAAACCAGACTTCAGTCCCTGTGGGTGAAACAGGCGTTGCGATAGCCCTTCTAGTAGATGGGTGTAACAATCGATTCCCATCATGTGTGCAGTACTCTTTCGGTTTCCTAGATCCTCGAGAACAGTCTCATAAGTTCTCTCATAACAGCTTCTTCACCATCTTAAAGGAGAGTAGGTGGCAGGACGTCTGATCCAGCTGCCTTGTTGCGTTTTAGGGCTTGGAGTTCCTTTCCGATCTCCGCTTCTGTGGGCGGTCCCGTGGATAGTGACCAAGGGTGGGGGGCTGATTGGACTGCGATGTGAAGTGCTCTGTCCAGCGTTCCACGCGTCGATGAAGAATGTTTATTAGCGTGCCGTCTAATTCGCAGATTGTTTCACTAAAGCACTTTTCGGGCCTGTAGATCGGATGAGCTGGAATAGTTGCCGGATGCTTCCACACCTAGCTGCCGATTCCATCTAGTTTGAACATCACGTCCACCAAGCCTCTCGGTTGTCACTCAAACTCTTTGTGAGTTCACGCTTCAGAGAGAGGCGCTGTTGATTGTACTCGCGGTCTGATGGAACTGCCCGACGCGCGTCGAGGAGTCTGATACAGTAGGAGGAAACCCAGTGATTTGCAACTCGGCAGGTTAGGCCACAGCTGTGTAAACCGTCTGAATGCATTGCGTTTTGAATGGTTATCCAGTGTTCATCTACGCTTTTTGGTGTAGTAGTGAGTCTCGCGGCCAACTGGTTTTGGTAATCGGCTGGTACGGCCGGTCAGAGAGCTTGGCGATGTCGAGCTGTTTGCATCGCATCGTTTTGCAGCCACCAAATCGCATAGACAACTTGGCACAAACCAGTGCGTGGTCGAATTTCAAGCAGATAGACCAATACGAACGACAGTCTGTCACACATCCTCTCCATCTATAGCTAATAGCTACATGACCAATCTGACTTCACGTCCGTGCCAAAGAGGGGTTACGCCAGGTGGCGAGGCGACACTTAGTGTCTGATAGTTTGTGCTAACGCGGAACAGACTGTGTTCTGAGCATATAGTAAGAAGTTTAACCCTCATTATCTGAACGATAGTTATCAAGCTCGCGATACCCACCAAGGATGGTCTCATCGGGTGACAGACAGCCCGAGTGGGGTAAGATTTCCGGTCAGTATCACGATATCCGTCTTGGTTGCTTTGAGAAGAAGCTCATATGGGCTGGGAGAGAAAGCATCTTTGACTGTGTCCGGAATACGGACTGTGGGACTGCATGCAGAGACCACGAAAAACTGTCGTTCATTTGGTTTCTACTTTTTGACTTTACTTAAGCCTCTGAATCTCACTGTGCATAGTCGGCTATCTATCGGGATCCAGTCCCATAGTGAATCTTTGACCCTGACACTTAAGGCAATACCAACGCCTGTTGATTAGACACTGAAGCGATAAAGCCCATGGAAACGCTCAGTTGAAACGCTTCTTTTGGATTGGAAGGAAACGTTAATCGGATCATTGAGCTCGGATCCTGCATGCATGTTACTAGAGAGGCAGTACACACCAACCTCTAAACTTTCGAGCGCATGAGCCAGACTGCTTGTTGTCCTATACGCAATAGAGTTCTAACGTTGAACGAAGCCAATTTGAAAGCCAGGTGAGGTCGGAGGAACGGAACGGTCGGTTACGAATTGCAAGGCAATACCGAGACAGATGTCGCGGAGGATAGTGGCGAGCTACAACACGAACCGACGTCAATAGAATCGTTCGGGGTGGAAAAAACAGTGGAGAGGGGGTATTGTGTGGGGGCGGGTGTAAGCGTTGCGTGTAGATTCTAAGAGAAAGCTTTGCAGAGGTGCAATATTCTGTGACATGCGTGAATGTGTATGTTCATAAGTAAGTGGTTAGTTTGTGGGTATGGTACTACCCAGCTGCTCAGGCCGAGCAGGAGGGTTTTCTTGGGGATCCTACCTGAAGCCTTTGGTTAATGAACCCGACACACATGTCAATGGGGTGGAGTAGGGAGTCCACAATCCTCTGGGAGCCAGTGATTGGGAGACCAGTTCACGAGCCCTCCGGATGCGGCTAACTACCCAGGGTACCCAGATTGCCCTTGAGCCGTACACTTGTCGATGAGCATCACGGTGGTCAACTCCAAAAGGTTGACTTTGAAGACCGGTTTGGTTGAGCCGAAGATTGGTGCCACTATGAACTTCTTACGCCAGGTGTGGGTGGTTTGAAATTAGGGTTTAACCAACTCCCTTAGATTGACTACCAATGGTCAGTCAACCCGGTAGAAAGCGCCGGGCATTCGCCTTTGCCCTTGCACTTTAGTGTTAACACCTCCGCCACGAGAAGGCAGTGAGTAGGACTTCCTCAGTAGAAGCGATTTGAGGAGCTTGGTCGTTTGGGAGGATTTCCATAGGAGTTCGGGACGAATGGCCATTTCGGAGTCCGGGACATCCACTTCTGACCATACTGGCATTTGGACTGCACTGTGTCAAGTTCACCCTTGACACAGTGCAGCTAAGATAATGCGAAAAAATTACGGTAGGTGACTGTTTAAGATAACATGATCCAATAACCACAAGGAGCAGACTAATACGGAATGTTTAATGAAACACCCCTGTGCACGAGTACAGCAAAGGATGGGGAGTTCTTATTGAATAGGTTAACTTGAGTGACCTACGTTATCATCACAAAACAAATGGCAAATATCAAACGCGATAAATTTCACAACCACAAAGGTGATGAGTTGAGCCGGAAATTTAACACCTGAAACTGAGAGTGAGAAAGCACCAAAATTGATCACACAATTATCTATTCAATGAAAAAGGAAGTAAAAGACTACCACGGTCATTGTGGTACCATTATTTTTGTCACCTATAGCAAAACGGCCGTACGAAGCAGAGTAGAGGGAGGTACTCAACATGAACCTGTGTGGAGATAGGAACGTACCGGGGATCAACTTGACAAAGTGCACAATGAACCGGGAATGAAACTCAAAATGTTGCATCATACGATCCCACACATCTTCGATACGATCCAGGGACTGCATCGGCCGGTACATGGGTGGCAGATTGTTGCGGACTTTCTGCATCATAGTGACCAAAGACAAAATCGAAGTATAACAAAATCAGAGGGTACGTCAAATGAATCTAGTGTGTATGCGTGGTCAGTACCGAGATACTTGAATGATGACCACAAACAACACTTCACGAGCCAAGCCGTTTAGCACATTCTAAAGGGATAAATTATTTTGTTAGAAAATAATTCAGTTGTACAGGGTCCTGGAATGGTCTACGACGATGAAAGGATATTGCGAAACAATGTTCACTGATTCAAATTGGATCACACCGATTGCAGCTTCAGGGGCATTTGGATTACCAAGGGAGTAATCAGTCTGACTGATTTAGTAATAGCAGATGCCCCACTTGGATCTCTTTCATTTAGGTGCAGCCTTACAGACTGATCAGATCGAACTCCTATGGCTCTTGGGGTGTCGCCTTACACGAATAGACATTTCATCTCGGAGAATGAATTGCAGCAGCCGTTTTATGGCACCAATTCGGTAACACCATAGTTTTATATACGAATGGGACGTTTGGATTACGTATAATGAGAAATAATCAAAACGTTTGTATGGTGATGACCTTCCAACTCTCTCAGAAGGCCATTTCCAGATCAATTATCAAGTAAATATTGAGCAAACCGTGAAAGAACGATACGATTGAATGACCAGGTATGATTAATTTTCTCCAAATGTAGTCAAAAATGAAAAATCCCGTTCACGACACAGGCAGCAGGAAATTCTGAATTGAACACATGGAGATGCATCATTTTAAATGAACAGAATGATGTTGACGTTAATTTACTAATTGTGGACCATGTCCTAATTATAAATGATAGTTGAAATCAAAATATGCAACAAAATTGATAATGAATTAGCTTTTCCGGAATTCGGGGGAAAGTGGACCCATTGTGAATATAATTAACGGTTAGGTAAAACGAATCGAAAATCGTGAATGAGGGAAGGTGTATCATATACACTCGAGGAGGAGAGCGGTCTGCTACTGAGTGCGTGCCAGCATTGGAGGTTTGAGGAAAAATGTGAACTAGGTGTGTCTACGTATGCATAAAAAGGCGGTTGCAGATCAGCGGTAGTGCTCAAGGATGTGGTGGGTTGACTTCTTGGTAAGGTTCGCCACCAGATAAGGTTGTTCACCTGAGGCGAACAAGCCAAACGGACGACCGGCTCGTCCGGAGCAGTTCTTAAAAGCTGAAGTGCACCCTCGAACAAGGTCTACTTTGGGCTGCAACCTCAAGCAGTACAACAACCCACAACGTATACAACTAAGACCGTTCTTTCTTCAAAGACTTCGAACTTAGAGGCTTCCTCCGCTAATCCAAATCGATCGACACCCTACATATTCTTTCCCGATGGTCCTTCATTTCACCCGCAGTCCCTCGCACTTTTCATTTCCATTAACAGCTTCAGACGACCGTACTGACAACAATACCTCAGATCGACATCCTGTAAGATCATATGATTCTTCAGTGAGAGAACGCGCCGCCACCTTGGAAAATTCATGTAAGCTGTTCTAGTTCATTCGGCCCCATCATGAGAAAGCTCTGGCCAACAGCTTCAGCCTCTCCTGAAGCTATTGCAGCATACAACCTCCGGTCTATGAGGGTCAGGGCCACCTTCTGATACGGAAAAGCGTCTAAAGATTCACCAAATAATTCTGAAACCTTGACCAAAAGTGAAGTAGATCATATAAAAGAAAAGATCTGATAAAACAGCAATTAGATGGAACTTACTTTTCGTTCAGCAATCATGTACTTCGCAGCAACCTGAATGCCTGCGGCGAATTCTTGAACTGTAACAAATAGCTGAAAAAGAAAGAACGGGAAAATGACGTACTCATTACCGGTATATAATGTAGGAGAACACCGAAAACGAAGGAACCCAGATACACAAAACGATCACAAACTCATCCATGTCCTCAAGGATGGTCTAGCCTAAACAAACTGCCGCAGTATCCCAAGTCATTATTTTTCGTTTTCCCATGAATCGGCAAACCAAAGAGCGATATAAGGCATTAGGAGATACTGCCACCAAACGAAGCCTGGATATCCTCCGGCTAACCAGAGTTGAATGTAATCAAGCGAGTCCTCAGGTCACGAATAGGAGGATACTTTCACCGAAGAAAGACAGCTCTGAGGAAGTTGTGACACAGCGCAAAAAATAAACAGTCCCAAACAAACAGCGGTGGCACTACCAAGGTGTGGTGGATTTCAGGCTGGTCACCTGGCTCCTGTTTAAACGCCACATAAGCCCAATGACAGTGTCGTGAGAAAGGTTGACGTGACTGGCCTTTTAAAACTAAAGTCATTGGCCCCCTCACTTCCGAGGCGAGGGATTACTTCTTACTGCCTTGCAGGTCACACCTGCTTGTGCAAAGGCCAGAGGTGCGCCCTCAAAATACAAAACGCCGAGTGACGCTGGGGACGTTTCTCGTACTAAAGTCCCAAGTAGCTTCATGATAATGTCTTCTACAAGCTTCGTTACCCATGTTACGGCTTCCCGGTAAGCGACGCGCCCCGCGCTCCTCCATTGGTCGGGGTGTCAAGAATGCGAACTGGAAATCCTCAACCTCTTTAACTTAGAAAGCACCACTACGTGGGATGCTGGAACGTGAGAACTCTCTTGGGCATTGGGAGTCAGGCAGTGGCCATACGCACGTCAGACGACTACCGCGTAGATGTTGCATGCTTATCCGAAGTACGATTAACCGACTCCGGCTCCGGCTCCCGTAGCATCAAGGTTCCCGGTTCTGATAGCCACCACTATTTTCACCATAGTGGTTCAGAAATTTCAATTCAACAGGGAGTGGCGTTAGCGTTGAGCCAGCGCGCCGACGCTGACCTACTCTCTTGGGGAACCAACATCGTCAAGGATCGCTGTAGCAAGCTTCAAAGGTAATCCTACCAACCTCACCGTGGTAGCAATCTACGCCCCCAGTTCTACCATCCGACAGGGTAGTGAAGGACGAGTTTTACGGCAGTCTTCAGGAGGTAGTAAGTCGCGTCCCTAAGACAGATGTACTTATCGTGGCGGGAGACTGGAATGCTGGAACAGGTGGGCAGGGACCATCACTGCGAACACGGTGTCAGGCTAATTTATTCCTCCGATTTTAACCGGACTTTCATAACCAACACGTTTCCAGCACCCCAGGAAGCATCTTCTTACCCGCTACTCCAACGACGGTATAACAGCCCACCAGATCGATTATGTCTTGATACGATCACGCTGGATTTCATCGGTAGAAGATTGTAGATCGCATCGTGGTGTCCAAGCTAGCAACAGAAGTGGCTCTTATCACATGCTGGTTCGTGCGAAACTTCGCCTTCGACTGACTACTCGCGTTAATACCACCTCTCAATGTGGGCCCATTAAAGTGTCGCGAGAAATCGAAAACACCGATGGATGAAATTGAAACCCGACTGGAAAATGAGTCTGCCCCATCCGTCATCGTAGCAGACCCCACTGATGTGCAGTAGTCCAGGATAAAAGCTGCACTAAACAAACTTGGTACCACGAAACGCTGCTACAAAGATTGGATATCAGAGAAAACTATCCGTCGCTCAACCCTAGCCAGAGACGCCCGTCTAGCTAGCTACCACGATTATCAGCGACTCAGACGAGAAGCAACCCGCTCGATAACACGGCCACGTTATTGCAACGTCGTGCAGTTTGCCGTTTCAAATCCAGAGTTTCAGGCCGCCGGTCAGCGTAAATGAAGGATAGACCATTATATCTTCAGGATGTACATGCCCGACCATTTTCATGCAGTGATGTATAGTAAAAACAGTTTAGCGAAGAGTAAATTAATTGACTGAGATAGCACTGTCTGCGTAAATCACGAGAAGCGAATTTATTTCAATGAAAGTCACTACGATCATGATCAATTTTGCCATTAGTTTAACCAACATATTTAGACTGCGAATCGTAGGCAACGTCCCGAAAAAAGTGGCATACATTGGACTATTGGGCGAAAAAATTTGCTAAGCGCTCGTCAATTTGAGCGACTTATACGTAGTACGAAACAACACAACCTAGGTGTGCAGAACAGCACACTGCATATGATCATAATTACGAGAATTCCTATTCGGTTTCCGGAACATAACTAGAATACGTAAAAACAGGTACCCAGTTAGACATGAATTTGCTGGATAATCAATCGTGATTCGGAGCATGACGATATCTTTGTCAATCGAATAATCAGTTCGCCTTACTGAACTGTTTTAGTGATCATTTTATTTGATATAAAACGAAAACCAAGGTCCTGACGAAGGAAGACTGCAAAAGGTGCAATTACAGCACTGGCTTGTGTTCATTGTCATATCCCTCAATGTATCCATCTAATGACAATCTGGATCTCTGGGGCCCCAGTCGAGAGGCTCCGATAGAATGAAGATCGTTACACAATTTCTTGAACCTTCAACGCCACGTTATAGCGTGCCCCCCTCGTTGTTTCCTCCAGTTCGGCCCGATGCCTGTAAATAACGCACGGTAGGACAGAAGTTGTCCAGGCATCGGAAGCACGTGCCGCATCCATCTTAGACGGTGCACTGGAATGGGTTTGCTCAACGAAAGACTACCTGACCCTACCACACATGTCGTCTGACGTCATCGGTACTCACGAGATGCTCTCACCATACGCCGGCGAACCATTTGTGTTTCAACAAACGACCGATTCGTTAAGTCAGCTAGCATACACGACCTTGGCACCTGTCGTCAATCTACCGTGTGCGACGCAAATATTATTCAATATTGTACAGGTGGGCATCAGACAACACATCTAAGGTAGAGCTGGCTCAGGTAACTTGTATGATGTGTTAAGGATTACACTTCAATGGTAACATTCAGAATAGAGTTAATAACATTTTACGCATGTTCACATGTGTTCTAGGACAAATCAATTCATCAGGGTCGTCACAGAAATCTGTTTTCTTTTTGCACGCTGGGACCAGTTGTCACCACCACACCAAATTTGATCAATTTGAATGTGCTGGTTACCAAAAAACTGTGGAAAAACA